CGGAAGCTAAACTACTTTGTTTGTTGGTTGAGAAAATTTCGCCATTACACGATTATAAGAAAAACAGCCTGTTTTCAATTCACTCCTCCGCAACTATCCTAAGGCCATGAGGCTGTGTACAATTTCTTCTTTTTCAGTAAGAATCTTAACAACCTTTTCGCTTGGTTCTCTGTGATCTATATGATATTCTCTTTGCTATTACTTTACAACAACATTCGACGTAGTTAGATTGAGCCATCGCGGAGAAATTGTTCAAATTGTTGTTATCAAAATAGAGGATGTCGCGCAGAGATTGGTTTTTTTGCACAGTGCAAAGGAGGGCGTTAACATCGCGTGATTGTACTAGTAGGAAAAGGTACAATGGGTGACATGGATGCGAGACGAGCTCTCTTAAATTAGTCAAAACTCGACAGAAAGTCTAGTTTTCACGTAAACACAGGGTCAAATATCCCAAATCTCTCGATCACAAGCCGTTTGCATTAGTAATCCAATAATATCAAAATGAACTGAACATATTATTCTCCGCTCAGCCCTTCTACAATGACACAATAGTAATGGAAAACTAGGCCTCGACCGGATGGATATCACTTAAACTGACAGAAAACATTCTTTACAACTACCGACATTTTTATAGAAATACGTTATTAATGCAGTTCACGAACCTGGATATATGATATATTGGTCAAATTATAAGAAAACAAAACTGAGATAACGTTGTTGCGCGAAGCCATGCACTCGTTGCAATAGCACAGAAAGTCATTTCATGGCAAGAACATTAACTTTGACCTATACACAAGACCATGAACAAGGGATTGTCACCCATGGGGTTAGTTAGAATGGCTAGGCAACCCCCCTTTAATATTCAAATCTGAATAGGACTCAATATCAAAAACAACACTACTGCATTGTAATCTGGAAAAAAATATTTTTCCAATTGTCCAAAAAAAATTTTTATCGCACACTAAATCCGAGACATTTCAGTAATTTTTGTCCTTGAGCTCTCTTGTATCGTTCTGGATTCGCCACTGCCGATTCGGACATTATTTAATTGTGACAATTGTAAAATAAACCTGAGAAAGTAATCAAGATTAAAACAATATTTATTTTCAATATCTTGATTCCGGTTTAAAGATATGGCCAGTACTATAGTAGTTTCTGTCAGGAAAGACAGTGTAAAAAAACCAGTTATAATACATGGTTAAACCAACAAGCATTTCAGCTATCCATTTTTTCTCAGTTCTGATTTTTTCAAAGTCGTTTTAAATATTTAAACCACCTAGAGCAATGGACGATGAGAACCCAGCCCCAAGCTAAGATAGCAAAGCAAAGCACACTACAAACATCTTGTCTCTTCTTAAAGGAAATTGTACAACACATCACGGAAATACATTTAGTTTGCATTTGACAAGGCGTAAATCACACAGGAAATAATATAAAACAAAATATAATAWCATGCATTTGTCATGGATCTTAGGAGTCGCCAGCGAGCATATATTTCACTGCGTACTCGGTACTCTTTTCCCCGAATGACACACATCAGGCTGAGACCTCGATTATCAGACGATCTGCCGTTTTTTTTTGTTGTTGTTTTTTTTTTGTAATGTGAAATGTCTTTGGCATAGTAAGGTTGTTGTACTTTGCTTGTTTTGCCTTCCTCTTTTTTTACTTAAGCTATTTGTAACATATTATAAGGATGCTTGTTTTGCCTTCCTCTTTTTTTACTTAAACTATTTGTAACATATTATAAGAAAATTGAAAAATGTATTAACAAGTGTGAAGTGAAGTTGTGTAGTGTATAGTAAAGATTTGCCGGTTACACAGTAAACTGCTAGGTTTAACGTTTTGATTTTTCTACATCGTCTCAATTCACTCCTCTATATAGCCCTTAGCTCAGTTTGATTCAAATCGAGACAACTGCTTGTATTAGCTTGAACTTATACCTGTTATAACTGCAACTGGCTCTCAACCGTTGTCTCATACCTATTCAAAGGCACGGCTACCTTTCAAGATGTCGCAGCAACAGCAAAAAAAGATATTACACTCACTGTATAATTATATTTACATATATTCTTTATTTTTGCCTGTAATATATACAATGTACATAAGATATTTTAACGACTCACTTCAGAAGTAATGTTTTCTTGCTTCTGAACGAGACATGTATAAAATCAGTGTAAACTATATACAGCTATGCCAGTAAGGTCGAGGAAGATACACAATGAAAAATCACAATTGTAGATTGTCTAATATGACATTGGACTTATAAATTTTCAAGGCAGTATCCATCCCAATCAACTAACAGATTCTCTTGGGTCGCCAAATATTTCACTACGACAACCTTTCTTGAAACAGCAGTATTACGTTTACACCTTTATGTTTAATTCGTCGTATCTCACATGTGCACATCTCGAACCATGAGAGATTCGACGTCTGTCGATGCCAAAAAAAAAACAAAAAACGAATGAAATAACTTTGTAAATAACATGCGAACATAATCATACCAATAAAGTTATTTGTTATTTTTTAGTATATTTTTCTTTCAAAATTTCTTTTTCTTTTAAATTGTCTTTCAATGCTATTTGTCTATGAATATAGTATTTCAGCCTGGGTACAGTTGGTTAACTACTCATTCCCTCTAGAATAGAAAAAGTGATGAGAAAGAATATCAAAAACAACTTTACCCATCTGCCAATCATTCCTTTGAAAACCCAGTTTATCATATGACCCGTATTTCGGCCCTACGCGCGCTCTTAAAAAACCTTTGGGAAATGGTCGCGCCGTGATGGGGGCCGTAAGCCTTTTCGCGACAGTGCCGTACAAACCCGTATTTTCCCGGCTTGAAGTTCCGCGCGCTTTTATTTATTTTTTACATTAAAAAACGCTGTCATATGATAAAATGCTTATTGACTGAGTTAGGTCGGGCCGTACGGGAAAATATTTGGCTCTCGGTCATTTGTACGGTATAACCTCGAGCCAAATATTTTTCCGTACGGCCCTCCCACTCAGTCAATAAGTACATATTTCTAACTCTCTCTGCACTTTTTGAGTATTTTTGTGATACCCTCGTTTAGGTCGTGCAATCCCGTTTTTCTCCAGCAAAGAGTTTTGAATTTGAAGTCAAACAGACTGCTTTCGTCTCAATTAATCTAGTCCGGTCAAAAAGCTGGCTATAAACTGATCGGTTGGTTTAGGATCTCCCAGGGATCTGTTCCTTATCGTTACTCTGAGCGTTGTGTTCACGAATTTCCCGCCATTGTAGCAGTATATTATGATACCTGTCCACGTACTCTAAATCACCTAAAAACACACRACATAACACATCAAGAAAGACAACATTTTCCGCTCTTTTTGGTTTTGATGCCGGAGAGGGTTTTCAAAAACCCGTGAAATGCACTTTATTTTGCACGTTTCTCTTTATCTTTTCGGTGTTTCACAGATTATAACACTTTGACTATTCCTCATTGTTTCACGGTTTGTTGAAAATCTCTATTAATACTCGAAAGTTTTAAAAATTTGCAAAAACACCGATGTATTGTATATGGGTTGGCCGCTCTCACACCACATTGACTCTCTTTGTATGCTTTCGAACTTTAGAAGCTTTCGCACTTTTTTGCTAAATTCATCAAGTTGTCCGCTTCAAGCTTAGTAAAACTGCTGATTTTAGTGTGTTTTTTTTTTTGTTGCATGGTTAATAAAAGCTTCACACAGTCCTAGTGCCATTTTGAAGTCCAACGGATGGTAATGGTGGTTTTAATGGAGACATCCTATAGTTTAGACTACTATCCCAGGGTCCCCGAGAATATTATTGCAATTGCTGATGATACTAGGGTTATCATACCTCTTGAATCGTAAAGATTAATCAATCCTCTGTAATCATATTCAAGACCACTGTAGCCATCTCCAAATAGCTTTCGACCTGTAAACCGACAGACGTATTAACACACAAATACATAATATGAGCAATTGACTGACTGATTGATTAAATATTGATCAATTGATTGATTGGGTGGGATTGATGGATGGATGAATGAATGAATGGCTTGACTGACTGACTGACTGATTGATTGACTGATTGATTGAGATACAATTCCATTGTTTGCATGCTGATTGGTTTATCATTGTACATACCTATTGCAATAGACCTGATGTATAATTCTTCAGCCCTATCGTACCGTTCCATGTCATAATTGTATAACGACGCAAGGTGACCAAGAGATAACGCTACTTCGTAGTCCTAAGTAAAAGAATTTACACAATATTTTACTACGTCTATCGTGTTTTTGATTCATAGAAAAYATGATGAAAGTTTGCGCGAGTTAAAGAATCAAAATAAAGTGCTTTCGTGTCATTTATCCTGTATCGTTATACACCGACTTACCTCGCTTCCTAAAATACGTTCTTTGATTGCTATGGCTTTTTTGTGCATCTCTTCGGCTTCCTGTGAAAGAAAAAATATACTGAAATTCCAAGAACGTTTCTTCTTAAACTACAAGACGCGCGCAAATATTTTCTAGACTTCTTTCTTCACTTCAGTTTCCAAGAGCTGATATATCAKTACTTACAAATRTTGGGCAAGTTTAAAATSTTTAYGAAATACAAACCAGGATAGATATCRTTCTTTAAAGACGCGCGCACAYTTTAATGTTCTGYTATTCCATGCACAGGCATAGCCAATCAGCCAGAGCACGACTTACAAGTAASTCAGTTTACACCATACGAAGGTCAAATATATGCCATTGTTTACCTGATATCGCCGCATGGACTGATATAGCCTTCCAAGATTCCCATAATGCTTAGCGGTCTGTACATTACTCTCTCCAAACGCTTTTCTATTAAAACATAACAATGCGCTTTTGTCACACAAAGCATTGACGGTAAAATAAATTAGAAACAGGTTAACAATAATGGAAATTGACTATAGTAGCCTCCCTTCAAAATACTAAAAATACAGCTGCAGAGGGAGAGGGACAAAGTTCTTCCTGGTCAAAATTATCAACACAGGAAGACCAAGAAGATAAAATAGAGTAGCCTGTGAACAACGTTGATGAGGATGATGCCATGATGATACTGATGACATGGAGTTTACAAGACTAGACTGTACCTAGCAAGCTCCAAAGAAGCCAAATGCAACTCCTGAGCCTCCTGAAGTATCTTTCCTTCTTCCTTCTTGTCTCGACAGTCAATCGCGATTTCCTCCAGTATCAAAGCTGAAAACCGAAAGAAATGTTTAACCGTATAATAATACGAGAAAACATAGTCTGTATACAGGGGTTCTTGGCTGAAATTACATCATTGCACTAAGGGTATGTCAAGTTCATCTGTGTATCCTGTGTACAGTGATGTTTCATACGCAGTATACAATATGTAGTTTTCACAAACCTTTGACTCGTTTGGACGACGCTAACAGCAGGTGATCATCAGGAAATAGTTTGGTTACTATGGCGATGGCACACTCCGCCTGACATCTGGAAGACAAATTAACACTTGAACTTTCATATAACAATCACTTGCA